AAGTCTGGGACTAAATTGAGGGAAACACAAAAGTCTAGGACGATATTAGGTCACCAAAGTCGTTTAGGACGAAATTGAGAAAAACCACTATAGTCGAGGACGATTTTGGGTATTAACTCTATATATATATATATATATATATATATATATATATATATATATATATATATATATATATATATATATATATATATATATATATATATATATATAGGCTGCGAATTGAATCCGGTGCACCCCTATTATATATGAAATCATGAGATCACTTAATAGCCATTGATTGATTCCACATGAATGGTGGATATTAGAAGATAATAATAAAGTAAATAAGGATATATTAAAAGTAAAAGGATTAAAATGTAATTGTAGTGATATGATTAATTATGGATAGATTTTAATTAGAATCATTTGGATTATATTTAGGAGTATTTGATTGGGAAAATATATTCAGACATAAATTACCAAATGTGCTGCACTGTTTTAGTTGCACTAAATATTAATTGATTAGTGAGGCATTTTTTTAGAGGTCCATGCATTGGCTTGTATTAGCGTGTGCGTGATAGGCATTGAGTGGTGAACCGTATGTTCTAAAATGATTGAGCGACAGTGGTGAATGGTCATAGGTAGTCTGTGCCTGCTTGGTTGACGTAAAGTGTGATGGTGTAGGGTGCACGGTGTTAAAGTTGTTTGTGAGTAACAAATTAAGGGTTTGTGCGTTTAGATGCTGCTGTGTGCATTTTGTATCGGTATGTGCATTTGCCACCAGTAGCTTGAGTGTTATGTTGTTTGGGTGATTGGGCGTTTGATGTAGGATGTTTGTGCAACCTGACTGCCAGCGTGTGCGAAAGTAGTTGAAGGTAGTAAGGGGTGACTGTCTTTATGCATATTACAAATAATAATAGGATTACGAGCAGTCAACTCATGATTAGTTAGTACCCGTAAGAGCGTCAACGTAAGCTAACACAAAACACTAATACAACCAAGCTGATTAGATACAGATTAAATAGTGAATTCTACGGGTTATTTCAAAATTAATAGAGAAATTAAATTATAATTACATTACACTAAACTTTGTTGTTCAACCCAGGCATACGCACACGCCGATACAGTGTTACGCACAAAGTTCTACTAAAAATAATGACAACAACATATTTCTCCCCAAATGAATACTGAAATCAAATTACAACATGTTCACGGGGTCGAAATTAGATAGCAACCACCTCGCCATTCGCTTAAGAATGTCAGGGGTCCGTAAATTCAAGAGTTCCCCTAACCCCAGCTCAACGACAATTCTCTTTTGCCGAGCACTAAATCGCATAATGGGATTCACCAGGTGTTTCGTAGCCGCCCGGATCTTAAGGGGGGGAAATATTGAATCATCGACTGCGTCACCACCATCATCCGAGTCCTTGGAATCCGACACCTGTTGGTCCGGGCGAGCGGGTAATTCCACATTAAGGGGGTTGGTGGCAAGGGTGGTACAATAGCTTCATCAGCTGTCGACTCAACAACAACGTCACCTGGTACCAAAAAATCATTAACACAAATACCAAAATAAGAACACAACACACCGTATGCACAGTAAAGAACCTTGCCCCACACTCCTAACTATAGACAATATAGCAGCCATGAAGATGCTAATCATAAATCCAACGCACATACTGTAAACTGATGACGCACACACATAAATTTTAAGCATCACACCAATCCAGCTAACAAATCCAATCACAATAACATTACTACCCCTTTCCCGACACAACAAAAATAGAAACAAACACCCACATACGGTATCCGGCCAAAAATAATATAACGAATAAGAATCGCACCGTAACACATTGAACTCAATCTCAAGACACCATGAATCAAATAGAAATAACCTATGCACAGACCATAAACCCATTACGCCCACACTGTAACAAATTCAACTCAATCTCAGGACACCATGAATCAAATAGAAATAACCTACGCACAGACCATAAACCCATTACGCCCACACCGTAACACATTCAACTCAATCTCAGGACACCATGAATCAAATAGAAATAACCTACGCACAGACCATAAACCCATTACGCCCACACCGTAACACATTCAACTCAATCTGAAGACAGTGACACACCTCTACGCACAAACCAAACTTTTAACATACAACAACAGCATGCACCCACTAAACCAAGCACGCACACACTGTAATAGTAATAAAAAAACCCCAACTTACTCCCCTACGCAAAAAAAAAAAAAAAAAAAAAAAAAACACCAACATTCCGCGCACAAACAAAACCAAAAATGACCTCAGACTAAATCCAAAGCCAAAAAAAGAAAAAACCATTCCACAGCTAAACACAAAAAAAAAAAAAAAAAAAAAAAAAAAAAAAACACAAAATAAAAAAACAAAACCCGTGATGTCAAGTCCCTAATAGCATAACTTGCACACGGTGACGCACAACAACGCACAAACCATGAACCCAACCATTAGAAGCCTCAAAGACTTTTACACATAGGACAAACATGCAAAACAAAACCAGGCACAGACAGAAAGACACTTTTAAATCCCACCAGACCAAACTAGTACTGCACGACCATACCACCCCATCAAAAACACACCTCAAAAACCTAGACTAATTACACACAACCAAAAAACAAAAAACATAGTAAAAAAACACTCACCCAAACCACATTCACAAACCCATGAACATGCAAACAACACCCACTACAACCCCCCTGATCTGCCAGAATTTAACCAAAAAAAAAAACAAAAAACTCGGAACAACCCTAACTGAACTACCTTATCCCCTCAACACCACAACCCCACCGCCCCAGCCGTGAACAACAAATCCTTCAGCCACCAGACCCCCGGGCAAAAACCCCAGCAAACGGTGAAACAAAATCCTACCCAACACACATGCAACGACCCATCCGTCCTAGACTAGGGATGAATATTCTGAACCCCCAAAAATTCCATACCCACCGTCGCCACCCCCCCCCCATCCCCTCAAGAACAACCGCCACACAACACAAATGCCCAAACTCCCCATACCGGCGGAAAACCCCCGAAAAAAAAAACCCAAATCAGACAACGATAACCCCACAACAGAGGGACGAACCTGATATCCCAACAGGAAACACAAAAGATAACTGCAAAAAAAAAAAAAAAAAAAAAAAAAAAAAAAAAAAAAAAAAAAACCATATGAGCAAAGCAAAAGAGGACCAAAAAATCGGAAAACTTGGAAGGGGATCGGGCAAACACCCCTTGAGTCGCTTAGATCGCCTCGAGCTCGAACCCGCCATGAAGAACAACGATTCAAACACAAAGCAAAATTGGCCTCGGACCCTGCAAGCCCTAATTTAAGCGAAGGAAGATGAAGATTGTCGAGGAATATGAGAGGATGGTCTAAGCGAGAAGACAGGCAGAGACCATATGAATAGGCGGCAATGTGACTGAAAAAGAATATATCCTAATTTATCTCTACGCTCGCCCCAAAAACCACGTGGCATAATTACTTTACATAATGAACATAGTCCCAAAAGACAAAACTACCCATTAACTTAATAGAAATACATGACACGTGGTTTCAAAGAGCACCAAATCTGAACCGTTAAAAAAGATAAATAAACGAATAGGATTAAGGCTCATGAATTCATCTAACTAGAGGGGGTGCACCGGATTCAAAATCTATATATATATATATATATATATATATATATATATATATATATATATATATATATATATATATATATATATATATATATATGTGTGTGTGTGTGTGTGTGTGTGTGTGTGTGTGTGTGTGTGTGTGTGTGTGTGTGTGTGTGTGTGTGTGTGTGTGTGTGTGTGTGTGTGTGTGTGTGTGTGTGTGTATGTATGTATGTATATGTATATAAATAGGGGCGCACTCCTGTGCCGAATAGATGCCAAGGAGAGAAATACGAATGCATGCCAGCCATCCATGTATCCAGATCAACGAATCAGATGTAATTTTTTAAAAATAACGCGGTGGAATTTTTGTAAATAACTCAAACTTTGGTGCATGTAAATGTGTTACAAGTGAAAGTGGTTGGTGTACCTTTGCAAATAAACAGTGCAGGTAAATTCACTTACAAGTACACCTACTTTCACCTATAAGTGCAAGTAATTTTACCATGTTAACATTCGTGCATCTAGGTGCAACTGCTTATAACTATAAATGCATCAAGTTATAACGTCAAGTGCACTTAGTATTGATACTCAGTGTAAATTTTACTTGCATCTGTAATACATTTTACATGCACTTGTAATACATTTTACTTGCACTTTCAAGTGCACCTACTTTCACCTACAAGTGCATGTAATTTTTCCTTCTTAACATTCATTGATTGGGTGCACCTACTTTCACCTACAAGTGCACCTACTTTCATCTAGGTGCACCTAGATCTCGACACGTGGTGCGTGCTATATATATATATATATATATATATATATATATATATATATATATATATATATATATATATATATATATATATATATATATATATATATATGTATATATATATCAATTGTATGTATTGTTGTTTTATATTTTTTTTATTATAATTTGTATTTCAATATATATGTATTTTTGATATATTATGTGTTGGTTTTTATTGACCACCGGGGTAGTCAAACGGCGAGCCAACACAACCGATTGAATAAATAAAAGATAAATAATGGAGAATAAAAAATAAATAGACACTCTAATATTTACGTAGAAACCGGAAGGTGAAAACCACGGACCTTTTGTTGGCGATGCCAAGCCGAGGTGCACTATATTTTGATAGTTTGCTACATGTATAATTTCTGTTCTTTCTAAAGAAATGTGGGATGAGAGGATTTCGATGCCTTTCATTATGACTAATTAAGGCTTTTATAGGGGAGAAATATGTAGAGCATTTGGTAATCGGGATCTATATGGCAATTCAGTATTTATGGTTAGGTAGGGTAATTAATGAGATTTGGAAAGTGATTTTAGGAAGGAGAATGATAATTTAGGTGCTAGGAGCTAATTTAGATTGACTTTGATTATCCTTCCATAATTGCATGGTTGCTATATAATTCTTCCCTTTATTGTCGCGATTGACTGGTTAGTTGTCTACCCATAGTCCATGTTCCATCATCTAGTCCTTCATATTCCTGTGTCTAGCGAAGCATGGCACATGAAAGTAGAATGCAACGATCTGTAGTGAGTTCACTACCATACACCACACTTCGTTGCCGACTCCTTTTTTCAAGGAAACATGCAGGGATTTCATTGCGGACTCCTTATTCCATGGAAACATGAAGGGATTTCATTGCCGACTCCTTTTTTCAAGGAGGCGTGAAGGACTTTATTGACGTATCCCTTTTTCAAGGGGGGGTATATGCTGAGCACTTTTTTCAAGAGCTCCATTTCTACAACTAATCGGTAGCTCTAAGGGGTTGAGAGGTAGAGTACTTAAGGCCGAATGGCCGAGTAGTTACTGACCATGAGGTCGAGTACTTGATAATCGAGAAGCCGATCACCTGCAAAATTTTAAAACATCGATTAAAAAAACATCTTCATGAGATGAAACCCACTAAAGGGTAGGGTCCAGACCAATTATTTTATCTATCCAAAGTTAATTGACCACTTGGCACGTGACAGTCCCTCAGTATCTTGTTGCATATCCTCAAACCTGCAAAGATTTCAAAGAGAAAGAATTAGTCAGTCACTTCGCGTCTGACGGTTAACTTAGTTGTTCTCTCGCAGTTGCCTACCTCTTTTACCATTTGATTGGCTGGTAAGCACTTAATTTGTCGTGCCATTTGAAGGGTTGAAAAACCACCGAAGGCGTTTTCCTTCGAGCCATTTAATTAGATGGCTGGCTGACCACCTAGAAAGGCTTTCGGCCTGTGCCGTTTAGAAGGCTGGCGGACCACCAAAATTTTACTCGGCTCGACCGCTTACTTGACTGACTGGAGTTATTTTTTTTATTATTTTTTCTGGGTACAACAGCTGATTTGTACACAACCTCTAAATAAAATCAAAGAAAATTAAATGATAAGAGTTAATATAGTGCTTGGCTATGTGTAGTTTGTTAAGTTTGTTTCGTTTTTGTAGTTGTGGTTACCTTGAGTTTAGTAGGCTATTAGCTTCACCTTTGTAGTATAAATACTTTCATTGAGTAATACAAATTCATCAGTTCTTCACCAATCTACATGGTAACAAGAGCTATTTGATCCAAAGTATAATTTTTTTCCTCCCTATGTTTACTTTTCCATGGCTGCTAATGATGCAAATACCCAACCTACTGTCCTCCCCAATCCGATTAATCTGGTACCTAATGTTGAAGGTTCTCATACCATTCCTAATAACTTGAACTTGGCTAACCACTAATTGTGGTTACATTTCATAACGTAACATTCAAAAACTCACCTCCTCTAACTATATCACATGGAAAATTCAGCTTGAATATATTCTTATTGGCTATGATCTTGAACATTTTATTGATGGCAGTAAACTCGTCCAAACTGCTACTATCACTGTGCAAGATCGCGAACTTCCAAATCCTGCTTATTCCACTTGGGTACGCCAGGATAAACTCATATTTTGTGCTATAGCTGGTACTTTGTCCTTAGCTGTCAGGCCTCTCATTTTGAGTGCCCGAACTTCTCACGAGGCATGGAATATACTAGAAAATACGTATGCTCGCCCCACCCGTGGTCACATAAAAAAACTCAAGGATCAACTCAAGCATATCATCAAAGGCAGCTCCATAGTTACCGAGTATATGAACCAGATCAAGAGAGTTGTTGAACTTGCCCGTTTAGGCAAGCCCATGGAACATGAAGATATCACAGACAAGATTCTTGATGGTCTGGATTCTGGTTACCAATCTGTTATTGATGTTGTTAATGGACGTGACCCCATCATCACCTTTGAAGAGTTGCATGAAAAGTTAATTAACAAAGAACTTGTTCTACACTGTGCAACTCCTCCTACCACAATTCCAGCTTCCTACTCAAACTCGACTAGCAAGCAATTTTCAGACTCGGCAACCCTCATATCCTCGCTTCAACAACTATACAATTCATCCCGGCCTGCTCCAAAACCCTTTCTTGGTCGCTGCCAGTGCTGTAATGTTCAAGGTCATGTTTTTTTTCATTGTTCTGTCTTTCGTGGACAATACCAAATATTCAGTTCCCCCCATCGTCTTACCGCAAACAAGAGGTAAAACCACAGGCTCATGTTGCTGCCACCTCACCGGTTGCACCCTTCTAGTTGCTAAACAGTGGTGCCTCCGATCATGTTACCACATATCTTTTTAATCTTGCTCTTCACACACCATATGATGGTACAGATGAAGTTATGATAGGGAACTGTTCTGGTCTTCCCATCTCACATACTGGTTTTATCTCTCTCCTTTCTACATCTAAATCTTTTTTCCCCTCCTAATGTTTTGTGTGTTCCCACCATGCGTCAAAATGTTATCTCTATTTCTCAATTTTGTCGTGATAGTAATTCTCTTATTGAATTCTCACCCACTGCCTTTTGTGTTAAAGACATTCAGACGGGGGCACCCCTCCTAACCGGACCATCTAAAAATGGAGTTTATGAGTGGCCGGCGTCTCCTAGTTTGTCTACTCATGTTTTCACCATAATGGTTTGTCGCAACAATTGGCATCACCACTTAGGTCATCCATCCGCTCCCATTCTCGACCAACTCTTGGTTCGTTTAGGCATTTCTAATTCTTCTGCTCAGACGCATTGTAATGCATGTCTTAGCAATAAAAGTCATAAATTTCCCTTCAAAAACTCTACTCTTACTACATCAGAACCGCTTGAGGTTGTGTTCAGTGATGTTTGGACTTCACCATTATATTCTTTTGACAATTACAAATACTACGAATTGTTCTACAATCCAATATTTTTGCCTCTGTCACCTACGATCCCCTCACCTCCTGCTCAAAATAATCAGCCGTCTCCATCACCATCCTTGCATGGTTCTACATCCCACTATTCTCCCTCTAGTTGGTCACAAACGAGTTAAGTTTCATCTTCGGCTACTTCTCCTACTAATCCTCTAGCTTGTGAAACAACTCCTGCCCCACGTGTCATTATTACTCGGTCAAAAAACAACATCTTTAAACCCATTCGAAATCTCAATTTGTCAACTCAAGTTGTTCCTACTGAACCTGTTTCTGTTAAGCAAGCTATGCAGGATCTAAACTGGTTGGCTGCAATGAAGGATGAGGTTGCAGCGTTAGCTCGTAATGAGACTTGGGATCTTGTTCCTCCCGATCCATCTCACAATCTTGTGGGTTGCAAATGGGTCTTTCGCCTCAAGTATCATCCAGATGGGTCCATTGCTCGGTACAAAGCTAGACTAGTCGCCAAAGGTTTTCATCAGTGGCCGGGGCTTGACTACTCTGAGACCTCCAGTCGAGTTCTTAAACTAGCAACTATTCGATTGGTATTAAGTCTAGTTGTTACACATGGGTGGGTAACTCGTCAGCTGGACATTAACAACACATTTTTTAATGGAACTTGATAAGTGCCAAAGATGCTATGTTTTATAGAGTATTTAAGAGGCATATTGTGCTATAATTGGAGTCCTTTATGCCTAATTCATGCTTAGAATAACATAATTTGATAAAATTTAAGATTAAGGACTAATTCCATTGCCTTTGTAAGAAAATAGCAAAACATTGTCAATTTCAGGGCATTCCGGCGACAGTTAGGTAGAATGATCATATCTTGAGCTAGCGGTGTCCAAATGAGGTGATTCAAGTGGCTATGGTTCTGAAACTTCAAGGGCTACAACTTTGGTGAAGGGAAAAAATTCCAGAAACATCCAAGAAATTCACAACGAGCGTTGTAATTTCGTGGACGGGCCATTTAAATGAAATTTCATATTTTAAGCCTATTTAAAGGCATGTAAGGGGATAATTTTGGAAGATTTTTTTCCCATTTCCTTTACTCTCATATTTAGATCGCTTAGGTTAGGTTAGATTATGGTTTATCTTTTCTTCTCATTTTCTTAGATTAGATTTACATTTCACACCTAGAATTCATTGTTCAACATTGTTATTGGATTACAAGCATCTAGATTGAAGATTTGGGTAACATTTCTTCTCCTTGTTCATATTTCATATCTAATTTGTGCTTTTTGATCTTATAAATGATGATGAATTGCAAGACATCTAGGATTTGGATTGGTATTGGATTGTGTTTGTGTTCTTATGCTTTGAATGTACGAATGATGAGATTGGTTGTTTGTATTGGCCTTGTATGCCTTTGTTGTAGAGGAGTGCATATTGATCTCTTTCCATTGAGAGCTCTTATGGTTAGATGAGTGTGAGAGTGAGAGTTTAGCAAGAGATTGCACTCTCCTTAGTCTTTCCCTTGCAATCCCCTTCCTACGACCTGAGAGGGCGAGCTTAGGGGAGGAGACGATAGACCGTCCACCAAGTGTTTGATAGAATGCCTCGCCCGACGTAGGGAACAAGAGACTAGGTCCTACGCATCCTAGTGATGGTGCCTTAGGTCTCCCTAGGTTAGCCAAGCCATATACCCACTGTAACACCCCACTCTTCTTAAACTTACTTAACAAACTAAAACCAAAATAAGATAAACTAAGCAGCGGAAAAGTAAACTTAATTAACAAACTTAGTAGGAGCGTCACCGCCACAACCAACTTGCCACGGTGATCGCACAGGCTAAGGGTAAAACTAAACATCAAGTCAAACTAACATCCGAATAACTAGGGGAATACAACCCCGGTGTCCGGCACCAACAAAAGAGATAACATAATACAAAAACCAAATAACAAGAAATTAGACTACAAGTCATCTAACTAACTAGTCTAACTCGTACTCTCTCATACCCACGAGCTGGGCCCACCTGAAAGGGGTTAACAAACAACAAGTAGCAAGCAAAACCCGTTAGCACGAAGCTAAGTATAACGCCACTCAACCATGTAAAGTAAACACAATATATACTTTGGAAAACAGAGTCTACATTCTTGAATCAACCACTTAAACTCTTAAATCATACTTTGGTGTTACCTTCTAGATGCTTGCAACCTAAGTAATAAGTAGGCATACTTATTCAATAAACACTTATCACATTCTCATCTCATGAACAAACTAAGCTTCTCATTTACTCAAATAAACTCATGCTTTCTCATATAACTCAAATAAACATTCATGAGCTGTCATATACTTATCATGCATTCTCTTGCAAGACATATAACTCACAACAAGCTCATACTATCAATCACACAATCTAGTGCAAGACGTATAACTCATAAGCAACTCATGCTATCAAATAACTCATAAGCAATCTTATGCTACTAATCATGCAATCTCATGCAAGATATATAATAAGCAAATTCATGCTACTAATCATGCAATCTCGTACAAGATATATAATAAGCAAACTCATGCTACTAATCATGCAATCTCGTGCAAGATATATAATAAGCAAACTCATGCTACTAATCATGCAATCTCGTGCAAGATATATAATAATCAAACTCATGCTACTAATCATGCAATCTCGTGCAAGATATATAATAAGCAAACTCATGCTACTAATCATGCAATCTAGTGCAACATATATTATAAGCAAACTCATGCTACTAATCATGCAATCTCGTGCAAGATATGTAAGTATAGGTACATATACATATACACTCTTTTGTAAAAAGAATACTTTTTCTGTGGAAGTTTCTTAGAGCCAAAAATGACTCGCTTTGCTTATTCCTTTCTTAGAGTCTCCAAGACTCGCTTTCTTAGAGTCGTGTTGACTCGCTTTCTTAGAGTCTCAATGACTCGCTTTCTTAGAGTCATGCTAACTCACTTTCTCTTTACTTGTGGGCGAGGCCGGGTTTCACCATAATGTGAATGGACCCATTGGGCACGGCGTATAGCCGGCCAATCTCTCATCCCGCCCATAGAACCAATCTCGTGGTTCCAAAACTCAAACTCTGTGGAATAAGGTATCGGACTTTCAGTGTGCACACTCCCTGACCAGGATTCCAAGCCTGGAGGGCAGTTTCCAACCTTGTAACGTGGGAATACGCCGCGTTACATGAAATCGGACCGCAATGTCCGTTGCTTTCTACTCCGAAAGGACATAGTCCAAACGGGTCCTCCAAAAACAAGGTTTTCCTCACAATAGATATATATAACTATATCACTCATGCATCTCAAATATGCATCACTTATCTTATGCAAAAAAATGCACATACTTCTCAACTCATTCTCAATAGAAAAGATAAAGGTTTTCTACATGGAAATGAGATTTTAGAAAATAATACTTAGGCTCACATTGGCCACTTATGCACTTTTAAAACATGAAATGCTCAAATGCACTTTACTGTAACATATGCTTCTACTTTCTATTCACTGTGAAACTCAACAATTTTCATAAATCATGCTTGTAACTCATAACTTAGCAAAACTTCTCAATAAACACTTAGCAAGTAGTTAGCATGCTATTTGAACTCTAATTACTCAAGGGATTCATTTACTGTAAATCATGCTTTCAAGTTGGACATGCTCTGTATACTTCCATGCTTGTAAAATTAGCAATAATCTTTAAATAACTCATACAAGACAATTTAGGCCTACTTTGCTAACAAAACTCATCTATAAGCTCATACTTCTCTATTAACAATCAAATAACATCATGCTCAACATATAGATGATCAAAGTCTGATAAACACTTAATCTCATTCACTGGACATGTTTCTGTAACAATTCCCTCACCAAAACTAACATAGAGGGCTCAAATCTCCTCCAAACTCATCGAAATCAAAGCCAAAACGTGCGTCAAGACGGCCCAGAGGTACCGAGCCACAAGGGCCCATGACACCCCATCCGAAACGACACGTAGCTGAGCCACAAGGGCCCGGCCACTGCACTGGAAGCACTCAACGGAACTTGGGGCGAGGCTCAACTAGGCCCGCTCCTCAGACCGCCTAGCCACCGGCTTTAGGCAACGACCCTCTCCTAGGGTCGTTCCCTAGGCCTGATTAGCAACGGCCTTAGCCAACGGTTCCCTTGTTGGACCGTTGGCTGGGACCGGTGTAAAACCCATAATTTTAGAACATTTAAAACTTATATAATAAAGGTAATCCTTATAAAATCCCGGAAACATAATATAAGAGTATGGGGTGCTATGCCACACCTGAGCTAGAGAACCCAAGTGCACAGGCAAACTAACTAGGATCCTCAATAATGTTAATACATAGATATGGCACGCAGGCTAAAAGGGAACTATCTACTCTATGCTTCACGTCTCTAGCGCGCTCCGGTGTCTACTCATCTGTGCCTGAAAGCCAAATATATCTGTTCAGCGAGAGATGCTGGTAACCCACTCCAACGTGTTGAAATACAATATGTATAGATACAGATATAGGAAAACCATTTTGAAGCAGGAAGATATACTTAGGAGACTCTAGCCTTTAAAACCGGGAATAGACTCGACAAGTAGAGGTAAGCATGTTAACAGTAATAGATAGTTAAGTAGAGATATCATCATAGAAATGCACATCAAAGGTCACAGTTCCCTTTCCGATTTCATCATATCATCATTCAATCATCATTCATAGCACATACTCAATGATGGCACCACGGGACCAATCGCATGCCCCGAACATGAGGGTTAATGCGTATAACATTAACACGGCCCCGCAGCACCCTACCTCAATACCGCGGTATGAGGGGAGTTGATCGCAACCAACCCTTTTAGAACCGTTGACGAACTCAACGTCGGATCAAGATCCTACACACCGCTGACGCACCCAGTCGGTGGACCGCGATCCCCTTTACAAGGGGGGACATACGACCCTACACACCGTCAATGCGCACAGTCGGTGGACCATAGAGGATCTAAGCCCGGCTTACCCCTGAGCTGTACTCAGTAGGTGCGCGAAGATCCTCGGAGACTATAGCCCTACACACCGCTGTCCCATCGTTCGGTGGATCGCAGCTAGGCGTAGCCCTACACACCGCCTGATTACTCAGGTCGGTGGACTAAAGCCTTCCTCGGCTTATTGGCCCTACACACCGTCCAGGCGCGTTCAGGTCCGGTGGTTCATAGCACCGAGGCCCATAGTTGGACCTGTAGTCCAAGAAGTAAATCAATTTGGCCTCAGCCACTTCTGAGTCTTAACCCAGGACAATCCATTAGCCTTCAGCCACTTCCGAACCTTTAGTCCGGGATCAATCCATTCGGTCTTCAACCGACTACCGAACCTTAATCCGGGAAATATCCATTCGGTCTTCAACCGACTTCCGAACCTTAGTCCGGGAACCACTCAATTGGCCTATAACCAAAATGGGGGATCATGC